AATGCCATGTTCACTAAATAATCGTTGTTTATTACTTATATTTGCATTCTTTGATGGTGTCAGGAATATCAGAGGAAATCCTGCCTTACATAAGGATGTGGCTTGTTGTTATCAGTAAAGAAAAACACACGGCTTTCAAATTAGTAAAAAAATTAGTATATACCTGATCATTCTCTAATAAGCAATTTATAAACTATCAGTCTCTCTTAAAACACAGTTATCAGATACAATCTGCGCCGTCGTCACATTCTCTTAATTTCTGTTTTGATGCAGATGTGACGTCTTCGATCAACGTTACTGAAACCCTCTGACAAAAATCAATACTGTAATTTAACCTTATGAAAATAAGAGAATGCTTTAATAATTATTATAACTCCAGTTTGCTTTTCTATGTGATTTTTTAAATATTTTCTTTTTTGTTTTTTTTAGAGTTGAAATCGTTCTTGAATTTTGCTTTCATATGAGAGTCATTTTAAAAAAGTCCATTTTTTAAGGACATATTTTTGAAAAATGAAAGTGGTTTTACTATGATTTTTTAGAACTTTATTTGAATAATATAGTAATAAACTACTAAAATCCACTGCGTTGCATAAAAAAATATATCTTTTAAAAAATATTGATATTTTATCTTAGTCATTTAAACTTTAATGTCCTTCCTATTACTTTCATAAAAAGAGCTGTAAAACTCAATTTCAAAATTTTCATCAAATTATCTTTTGTATACCGTTAATAATTGAAAAAAATATCATTGAATGTCATGATGTTTGATATTCATCTAAAATATGAGCGTTTAAAAGCATGTCAAACTACCATATACCAAACAGAAGCAAAATCATCGGGTTTTTCTTCATGAAAAGTCTTATTGCGGAAGGTTTATATGCTACAGTTGAAAAAAAACATTCTTGTACATTATTTTTGTTATTAGAATAAACAGTTACAGAAAGTTATTTAAACAGGTGCTCTGCCAAAGCAAGTTAAACTAGGAAAATATACTGGTAACAGTAAGGACTCGGGTATAACAGGAAGGACAAAACAGTGTAACAGGATGGACAATGAAATCTACATTTTAAATAAAAATTGACTTTTTTAAACGTTATTGGTTAGGATTGATTGATTGTATTCTGTTTAACGTCCCTCTCCAGAATATTTCACTGATATGGAGACGTCACTATTGCCGATGAAGGGCTGCACATTTAGGCCTATGTTCGGCACTAACGGCTTTTGAGCAGGGAGGGATCTTTAACGTGTCACACCTGCTGTGACACGGGGCGTCGGTTTATAGGGTCTCATCCAAAGGACCGCCCCATTTAGTCGCCTTTTACGACAAGCAAGGGGGTACTGAGGACCTCTTCTAACCAGGATATCCACGGAGCTTATAGGTTAGGAAAAGAGAAATAAATGTAGAATAAATATATGATTTTGTCAACTCTGGCAAAGTTGAGACAATAAAAGACATTTATGTCCATCCTGTTACGAAATTTAATTGTAAAGTGCTTTTAAAATATTTATCAGTTCAATTTTTGTTTATAAAAGGTACTCTATGCTGTTGCAAAACTAAGAATTTTTCATAATTTTAGGAAAAACAAATGATGAAACTTAAATAGGTATATAAATACCAGGATAATTTGTCCCTCCTGTTACAATTTCTGTCCATTCTGTTACAAGAGCATGTTTTCCTTACTGTTACCATATTAATGGTAAGAGGAATGACAGTAACAGGGTGGACGTTTCTCATATAAATCACCAGTTATTTAGTATAACGTACTCTTTTTGCATCATCGAGACATTGAAACAGTTTCTTTGTTACTCAGTTAATCTGATTGTTTTAGCAGAATAGACAATTTAAAGAGTATATCATATTATGAAGGTAACAGATAGGACATATTTTCAATATACTCTACCAATAAGAAAAACTTATCGACCTTTGAACCATTTCTTTACTCACTTTCAAATCATGGCGCTCATAAACTTGAGACAACAGACAAAGATGATATATTGTGGATCATGAAAACAGTTCCTAGGAAAGTGAGATAACTTTTATTTTAACATTTTCTTTTTGTTAACAGAAATGATATAAACTGGAGAGACATGTCACTTCCTGAATGTTAAATGCACAATACTAGTCTTTAGTTGGCGGCATAAGTAAAACAATCATATCTAATCTTTAAATGAATTCAATTAATATGAGGTGCAAAATTTGTACATATCTTCACAGGTCAATATTTTCCCTATCATTTAAATAAGCGCGTTATAAAATTTTTGTTCATGTGACATGGTGTTACTGTTAAATTTTTCTCGGAATGCATATAATATTTTTATAAACACATGGGAGATATTCATAAAGATATCTTATAAGCTGTATGACCATGTATATTAACCAACGGGAAAAATCACTCTGAAAAATGTTTTTCATATTATTCTGATCAAAAGACAAAAAGTGGACTTTTTTTGAAAAAGTGTTTTATCATCCAAGTGTGAAGAGTTATCGTTCTTTGTACAAATATGCAAAATTGCGATAAGAAAAATAAAAATATGACAGTACTATTCAATTTTTAAAAAGTTTTATTATACAAATAAATATATTGCCCAAAATTAAATTTTTAAAGATATAAATCAGCAATTTTAAATTGTTCTGAATTTGTTTTTTCCCAAAAAATATTATCAAAAACTTATATTTATTCCTTTTACGAAACAATTCACATATATACATCTGAACACATGATATAAGTGTAGTAGAGCTTACATTACACGAGTGTGATAGAGCAATTGCGTTCATAGCAGAAGCAATTGCGTCTATAGTGCAATGAATGCAGTTGAAGACTACATGTTCATAGTGGGAGAGAGCAGAAGATATGCAAATATAACTGTATAAATACCGGTACGGGGTCAAGAGATCATATATGTGCGTATGGATAATCGTTCGACATAATTTCTCGGTGACGTCATTAAGGGTCGATGCGCGTTCAGTGGACTGTATTCATGCCATTGGGTTTAAAAAATAATGCATTTCACACGTTAAGAGTCAAAATCAGGCAAATATAACGTATGCATAAGTCACACATGTAAATATAAGTAATAAGGTATCATTTTAAAACATCTATCGGGCTTTAAAAACGGGTTGGTACGAGATTTAATTCATCATAGAGCCCTTCGGTGCTTTTTTAGAATTAATCTCGTGACAAACCCGTATTCATACCCCGATAGATGTTTAAAAATGATACCTTATTTCTTATGTAGGGTGAAATCACCATGCATCGGACACCCTTGTACTTCAACAAGTTCTAGCGATATCGCTACCGACGGAAAATTATCAAAATGGAGCTTAACATTTAGTTTGTGATTAAAATATCAATTTAGGACACAATTATATGCCCTCTATTGAGAAAATATCCCCCAAAATCGAGTTTTTAGGAATAACCGAGAATTCACCATGGATCGGACATTGTTCACTATGCATCGGACAGACGGTATGGAGACGGAAAAATATCATACCTTTATCACAGTGATTTTAAAATCTTTGATATTGATATATTTTCATTTTTTATCTAAGAAATAACCCTCAACTTAAATTAAATTGACGATATTATTGCACAAATGTAGAACAATTCAAGATACCTCACTCTGCCATAGAAATGCTTCAAAATGCTTGTAATGCGGTTTATTATACTCTGGTTTGTAGAAATAAATTGAGTAAAATTCCAGACCTCATATATCGATAACTTGTATTTTGACTGTAAAAATAGAGTTGTTACTTTCTTTTTCCGCAAAAAACAGCTGTCAGCTGGGTTCTGTATGAAAATGGTAGTGCTTACCTTTGTATCGAAAAGTGTCCGATGCATGGTTAATTTGTGTCCGATGTACGGTGAAATTAGCATACTAGTAAAAACCAGCTCTAATAAGAATTAAACAAACATTGAAGTGAAATTTCTCTATAATTTATGTAAAATTATCAATCCTTTACAAAATTCACCAAAGTCCGACTCGTTCCATAGAAATCGAATTTAAAAGGACGATAACTCTAAAAATCGCAAAATCATAAATTTTGGGTTATTCCCCTTTAATGATGTAAAATGTGACGTACCTTCAAGGCCATTTGCGGGGTATTGTTATCGCAACATGATAAACACAATCGGTATCATTAAAAAATATAAATCTTCATCTTTATGACAGAAACAAATAAATACACAGAACTCTTAAGTTGAAAGAGAGATTATGGCCTAAAGTTGTCCGAAGCATGATATGTGTCCGATGCATGGTGAACTCACCCTATATAAAAAATGATGTCATTTTCCGGCTAGTCAATAATTTGTGACGTCACGAAATGCGTCACTTTCCTCATATTCTGAAAAAGTCTACAAAAATAGCCAATTTTTAAAGCTATTTTTTGATATTTTGATATAGAGCGCTACCTCTGATCTAAAATTTGCAACAACTTAATTATAGAACTGTTTCTGGGGATTAAAAAACATGTTTTATTTTATCTGAAAATTCAAAATTTAAGAACATTTTTGTTTTATCAGAGAGTGCGCTGATTTTATTTTTCTTCACTGAAAGTACTCAAATTTACCCGTTTATCTGAAAATTCAAAATTTAAGAACATATGCAATTTCATGATGCCAGTTTTACAAGACCAGGACTTTAAGGAAAAAATTCTAAAAAGGAAATGAAAATACTGAGTCTCTATTTTGTTTTAATGCTTCAATTGGAAAATCAAGTGCTAATCAATCAATTGGTACACGTGCAGGGCCATTTTATGCATAAAGTGAACGGAACTCTTTATTTTTTTTCTTTTCTATATAAACATTCTAATGTCTTTTCATCCTTTTTGCATGATCATGGAAAAAAATTACCGCTTTGATCGCTTGAATTATTCACTTTCCGACGGATCGCACTTTTTGCAGTCTTCGTCTCGTTTTTCATATTAATGAAAAAAATGATGGTGGTCATATTTTTAAATATATTTTTCGATGATGTAAAGCTTATTAAATTTTAATTTTTACCTTTCAAAGATTTTGTTTCATCACATATATCAAATATTTCCTCATGCACCTCCAATCCCTCCGTAGATTTTACTTTCTTGATCTCTTCTTCACTAAAACCAAGCAGACGTTTAATTAGCGTGGTTTTTCCCGCCCCAGCACATCCTACAATCATCCCCCGGGCGTGATGTACTGTCTGTGTTCCTGTCTTAAGGTACTCAACATACCTAACTCTGGCCTCCTGGTCCCATTTTAGTACTTCTGCGGGGACGCCAACTATTCAAAAAAAAAAAAAACTCTATCAAAGGTTAAATTTATCGTGATATTTTTATTAATTTTCAATTTTAGCTCATCTGAGCTTTTCTGACCAAATTTAAAATGTTTTTGTCGTCGTCGGCGGCGTTGTAGTCGTTCTCGTATTTGTTTCACATTTTTATCTTCTTCTTCAGAACTACTGGGCCAATTTAAAGCAAAGTTATGATCGATCACAGTTATATGGAAGCATCCTCGGGTAGTATAGATTCAAGTATATAGTAAAAATCTTTAAAAATCCAAATTCTTCTTCTCAAGAACCAGTGGGTCAGAAAAGCTAAAACTTATGTTGAAGCATACTGGGGTATTGGAGATTCTAAAACATTCAAATTGTGACCCTACCCCCTGGGGTAGGGATGAGCCACAATAGGTATTACAATGGGAGAATTCACGTGAAGGGTAACATTAACAGGGCCAGAGTTACTCAGATAAGCGTTGTGGACCATGGGTCTCTCGTGGAATTTTTTTTATTTTAACAAGTGTAAAGTATATTTTAAACTTAGTATAAACATGTGTATACATATTGAAACAGTGATATGTATAAATACAACTTTTTTTTGATTTGGTGGCAATTCGGTCACAATCTGGAGGACGGGATTCGGTCACCGTTGTGGGTGATGTCAATATTTTGTTAAAAATCGAGCCACGCATTATTTCGATATAAAAAGTAATTTTTGTGTACTCCGAAAAAGTCGGTATATTGATCATTTAGAGGCTAACAGACAAGAAGCATAATAATAAACTACATGTACAGTTAACTTTATTATATTCCATGCACTAGACGCCTTTGAAACCATAGACAGCTGTAGTATGGATTAATCAACTCAAATCTTAAAAATTAGTAAGAACCTAAACATTTTCAAAAACATGAGATTTCGACGTTAGTAATACCCATGTATCAATTTATCCAAGAAGCGTTTTCTCATGTTTAGAGACTAATTTTGTGCCGTATAATAAAGTACACAAGAAATGAAAGAAAATTAATTTACAAAGGGGATCCCCTGACAGAGTGAAGTAGTACCGATATTTCCTTGGAACTATGTTCCGAATCAGGGAATCTCATTCCCATGATTTATTTTTTTATTTCTTATTTTCACTTATTTCTTAAAGACTCACTTCCCTTTCATAAATATACTCAACAAAAAAAGTTAAGGGTTATCAAAACCTTCATTTATAATTTCAACATCGAAAAAGGACATTTATTCAAAATAAATTACATAATTTCCTCTGTAAAGTACCTACACATTTGATAAAAAACTAATGGGAATTGTTCACTTGGACAAAAGAACAAGAGTACCAATTATGGATACCCTCCTATTCAAAGTGAATTTCCATATACAGTAATTGCATGACTTGTTTAATTCAAAACTGACAATTATCCAACAACTATCAAAACTTGGTTTGGCCTCCTCTTGCCTGAATAACAGCCCTGTATCGCCTTGGGAAACTTCGAATGAGTGAACGGACGGTTCTTTGTGGTATCCAATCCAATTCCTCTAAAAAAGCAACCTTAAGTCCATTGGTATTTCATGGAGCATGATACTGCTGCTGAATTTTCCTCTGAAGAACATCCCAGACATGTTCAATAGGATTGCAGTCTGGTGACTTCGAGGGCCACCACATTCTATAGATAGTCTCTGTCTCAAGGTACTAGTTCACTATGTTTGCCCTATTTGGCCAGGCGTTATCATCCCTTAAAACAAAACTGTTTCTATTGCACCAGCAAATATTCTCGCAATTGGCTGAAGGATCTCATTTCAGTATCTGATACCGGTAAGTGCTCCATTTCTGATGATGTACAACTCCGTGGACCTCTGAATAGAAATGCCTCCCCACAACATAACAGAACCTCCACCAAAGCCATCATGTTCAGCCACGCAACAGTCACTGAAACGTTCATTCTTTTGTCTCCACAATCGTCACCTTCTATCATTAAAATCCACACGGAATTTTGATTCATCACATCAATTTATAATAAATTTCAGAATTGAAATTTCCTTTACTTAACTACAGTATATTATACATAACCCTTAACTTTTTTTGTTGAGTATATTTGAGAAGCCTTAGGAACAAAACAAACAACCCCGCTCGCAAATCTAATAACCCACCATAAAAAGAGCCCTTTTACTCGTCAAAGAAAATTTGAAAATGTTCAAGGAACAACTACATTTTTTATCACAGGATACCTGTGACCAAATGTACGAAAGCCCGTTGGTGCCACGTATGAAAAAATATTTTATCTGGCGGCCGCCACTTATGTATCCAGCGGCCGCCATTTATTATTTGGCGGCCGCCACTTATATATCTGGCGGCCGCCCCATAAATTATTTTGCAAAAGGTGAGTGTTATTGGGTTAAGAAGATGGATGTTGACACAACTGCTTATTGATAAAAAAAATAAATGATAAAAAACGAATTCTGAAATAACTATTGGAACACCATTCTTGGAAATCCAAAATGCAAAACTTCATTTAATTCTCAACCAATCATAGCTTAAAGCAACACCATGATTTATGTCCGTGACCCCTGATGAGGCTTCTTAATAATCGAAACACTCTACAAATACTTGCATAATTCAAATCAAATATTAATCTGCTCTATGCAAAAACGTATCTATCAGAAGTGTGGATTGGAGTGTTGGTTCATTATAAATCTCTTACAAGTTTGGTTGTTTGATGTTGCTATTATAATTTTTACACTGTATCCACCTCTTAAACCACACATTAAAACATGTGCGCGATTCAGGAAGCCAGGTGTTATCTGGCGGCCAGCATATGGATTATGTGGCGGCCGCCAAATATTATGTAGCGGCCGCCAGATATATAAGTGGCGACCGCCAGATAAATCATGTGGCGGCCGCCAGATGTTATATAGCGGCCGCCAGATATTATGTGGCGGCCGCCAGATATATAAGTGACGGCCGCCAAATAATAAGTGGCGACCGCCACATAGTTTTGTGGCGGCCGCCAGATATACAAGTGGCGGCCGCCAAATAATAAGCGGCGGCCGCCAGATAAAATATTTTTCGTACGTGGCACCAATGGGCTTCCGTACAAATGAAAGGACAACATGAACTCTTAAAACCCAAGTGTTAAATTATTTCCCTTGATAAAACGTGTTTGTGAAGTGTTTATGAAAAAAGTGTTTTACATTTGATTTCTTTAAAATCGGGTGTCTATTTTCATTGATATGTTGGATTTAGAGAAACTATAAACATTCATATTAAACTTAGATCCTGAAGTGACATAGTCACCGAAAAATTATTTAACCAGGATTAAATTAATATTAACATGTATCATACTTAAGACTTGCAAGGATATGGACCAAGCGTGCACATTATTTTCATCATGTTCATAGTGCATTAACTTATTAACTTTTGTATTTTTACAACTGTGGTTTCATCAATATTCGTTGAGCACCAATTTTCGTGGACTACGTTGTTGAGCAGATCCACGAATTCAAATGTTCATTGAAATACGAAATATGACATTTATTTTAAAAATTTTGTCTTGGTAAAAGATATATCAATTATCCTAAAATCAAGGAAAAACATCTCTTATTTGTAAGAATGTATCAGCCCTGTTACAACACGAAATGTAATAACAACGCAAAATTTAATAACCCTAGATTATTACGTTTTGCGTTACAGCACAACTCGTTTATAACGAAGTTGCTGGGACCTTTGAAATTACTTCGCTATATCCGTATATAACTGTATAAGAAATTCATTAATTTGATATAGCTGGGGATCCATAATGAATTCGCAATATCCATGTTCGTACTAAACGAGTTTTTACTGTATTACATTTTGCGTCGAGATCAACGCAAAATGTAATAACGCAAAATGTATAACACAATTTTTAGATTATTACATTTTGCGGCGAGATCAATGCAAAAAATAATGTGCTTTTTCGTTGTTACATTTTGCGTTATTTCATTTTTGCATTGAAAACAACGCAAAATGTAATAATGCAATATGTAATAAAACAAAATATAATTTTTTTTATTGCGTTTTACAAAAAAAAAAGAATAATAAAATTTATTCAAATATACATAAATCCAACATGGGAGCCACGCTGTACAAAATATTTAGAAATTAAACAATGAGACCAGTGTTTGGG